AGGTGATTGGTATAATGGGAATTGAAATGGCTGGTGGTGTTTATTGTCCATTGTCACCTCGAGATCCGGAACATCGTTTACATGCACTTACAAAACAAACACAAAGTCGTCTTGTTCTTGTTCATCATTTTACAATGAATAAGCTGAATGATAATATAATTTCACTCAATACTGAGTTAGTATTCACTGACAACTATTTGAAATGTGATACTGATGTTGAACAACTATCAAGTATAAACGTCACATCCGACAATATAGCTTACATCACTTTCACAAGTGGTTCAACTGGTGTTCCTAAAGCGGTTTGTCTTTGCTGCATTGTAGAATATATGCTTCACTTCTCTTCTTTGTTTTAGACTCAGACAAGACATAAAAATCTCATAGGTTTCATACATTCCCTTCAGTACATTGACTACATTAACGAAAAGGACACAGTGGTGCAAGTTTTTGCTTCTGCATTTGATGCACATATCCAGGAAATCATTGGTGCTTTGCTTTCAAGCGCGACTCTTGTTATGTTGCATTCTTATGGGAATATGGATTTTTTATATTTCGCAAATACACTGGAAAACAAACAGATTACGTATATGGCATCTGTGCCTAGTTTCTTGTATAATTTCTGTGATTTTATTGAAAAGAATTTTAATGATAATCCTTTAGTTACACTGAGATCGCTTGCAATTGGCGGTTAGTAGAATACATAAAAAACACAATTGTACAACCTTTTCCTAAATTTCTAGGTGAAACTGTCTCTCACAAACTGGTATATCATCTCAATCACTACGTGCAGGAGACATGCTACATGTGGGATGTATATGGACCGGCTGAAACAACAATGTTATCGACATTTTATCTTATTGACTCCATCTGTGGTCATTTGGACGTTCCTATAGGTAGCCTTCTTGCTAATTACCAATGCAAGGTATTTGATGTATACTTACAACCTGTTTCTATTGGCGAAGAAGGTGAACTATTTGTAGGAGGAGTAGGTGTGTTTGCTGGATATCTTGGACGTGACGATTTGACCGCAAAAGCTCTTGTTGAAATAGGTGGTCAACTATTTTATCGAACAGGTGATCTTGTTACAATAGATAACAATGGTCTTCTTCATTATCAAGGAAGAAAAGATTATCAAATCAAATTACGTGGTCAAAGAATTGAACTTGGTGAAATCGAACGATGTTTACTTAACATTACATCTATATCTGCTTGTGTTGTTATGAAATGGAATGATGATTATTTAGTTGCTTATGTTCAGTCTTCTCATACCAAAGAAGAACAACTACGTGAACATTGTCAATCTCATCTTCCATCACATATGATACCATCCATATTTATTGTTCTTGATAAACTACCTCTGAATCAAAATGGAAAAATAGACAGAAAACATCTACCAACACCTAATTTTTCATCGTCAACCGATAATATTGATGGTAATATGCCACACACTACTTTAGAAGAACAGTTACAAGATATATTTAGTCAAGCTTTCCATATTGAATCCCCTCATGTTGATGTTTCTTTTGGTCAACTTGGTGGAACGTCATTGGGTGCTATCCTTGCACTTACATTGATTCGTCAACAAATCTGTAATAAAGTTGACATTGGTCTTCTGTTTACTAATCCGTCTATTCGAAAATTGGCTAAAGTTATAGCACCTTTATTAATTTTCGAAGAACTAGAAGAGACAGCTTCCACAGTTAACGAATATCATGAAATACATGATCATCTTGCACCTTCATTTGTCATCGAATCTTTAGGTGTTATGCTTCTTGTTTGCCAGTGGTTGTTACCAATCATGATCATTCATCGATGGTGCCCACTTCTTTTTCCTATCTTACCAGTATGTCATCTGCTATTCTATATCATATGTTCACGTCTACTTTCACCGCAAAAAATCAAAGATGACAATATTTTCTCTTGGAACTATTATCGTTGGTGGTTTTTAGATCGAGTATGGAGTAATAATACATTTTGGCTGCAACATATACTTGGTACACCATTGTATAATTGTTACCTTCGTCTTTGCGGCGCTCGAGTTAGTCTTAATGCACATATTTATACCATAACTATGGATGCTCCATGGTTGTTAGATATTGATGATGGAACTTGGATTGCTGATAATACGACTCTAAACTGCTTATATTACAATGATAATGATACTTTTGCATTAAATTCAATTAGAATTGGCTGCTATTGTTCCATCAGTGCCCGATCTATTCTGTTTGGTGGAGTTGATATGCAAGATAACATTATTGTTCAGCCTATGTCATCAGTTACTGGTTTCATCGCATCGCGAACGACTATCGATGGTGACGAACAAAAATCAACTTCATCAGATATCTCAATCACACACAGTAATCGATTATTATCAACATGGCACAAGATCTATCAAGTGATTACAATCATCTCACTCATCTGTATTCATTGTACACTTTTATTCATGGCCTACAAAGTTTATTCAATTGAACAATTACCACTACTTATTAGTATTGCGTTTTGCTGGACTTTGTGGTCAATTCTTGCTTGCTTTGTCACTCTCTTTCTCTTAAAATTTGTAGTTGGTTCTTGTGCTGCTGGTGAGACATATCCATTTGGGTCGTGGTCATATTTACATAAGGTGTGGTTTCGTCAATTAATTGTATCTAGTTTTCATCATGCATGGTCACTACCAATTCTATACGATCATCTTTTCCCTTTTATTCTTCGTTGGCTAGGTGCTCAAGTTGAAGATGATGTCAAACTCGTCCGTATACATACCTTCTTGTCTTATCCAACAAATCTGTTGAAAATTGAAACAGGAGTCACTGTTTTTGGTTACGTTTTATTAGTTCCTACTGAGATGACACTTGAGGGTGACCATCGTGTAGATTATATAACACTCGGATCTCATACAAATCTTGGTAACATGTGCTCAATTTTGCCGGGTAGCCATCTTGCATCTCATACTATGGTTGGCAATTTAACACGAATTACTCGAGAAACAATCAGCAACAACAGAGATGTTTTCATTGGTGTTCCAGCTAGTGCTATGCCATTTCAAATGCCCATTAGAGAAGCGACAGATGATCAAATTAAAACTACTCCGTTTTGGAAGACATGCTTTTCTCATTATATTAGCAAATGTCTTCTCACAGGTATCTATTGGTCATGTGGTCTTATTGGTGGACCAATTCTTCACACAATAATTGTATGCAGTTTCGATCGATGGCATTTATATACAGATAATGAAATAATCGAACAAATAATAAGAAGACTACAAGTAGATCATGAGATTTTTATTTGTACATTTCTTGGCAATACTCAGTGGCTAATTCGGTTATTTCGAGCATATGGTGCGAACATCGGCAACAATGTAATCTTACCCGATGTTTGCTCTATTTTTGATTACAATTTGGTGACTATCGGAGATCATGTTCGACTTAATATGAATGCCATTATTGTGGTAATATATTCATTTCAAGTCATTTTTTATATATACATTATTATTTTCTACAATAATTTCAGGGTCACACTTTCGAACAGCGTATTTTGAAACTGGTTCCTGTTACAGTAGGCAACTCGTGCGTTCTTATGAGTGGGTCATTTGTAATGTCGGGTTGTAAACTGATGGGTAACAATCGACTTTATCCTTTTACACTCGTAATGAAAAATGATTTATTGCAATCAAACACACAATGGAAAGGACTTCCTGCACGTAAGTCATTTAGATAGATGAAGCTATGCACACTTGTATTTTATAATACTATTAAAATGTTAAGTAATATTCTGCAAATTTCATTTCGTTCATGGTGATCTTTGGATATTTCTTTATCTGAATTATTTAAAACATGACTTTCTTGAACTTTTCATTCATTATGATTTATAATGCCTTGTAATCATATATACTCATTTGACTTTCATATGATTTGTTCTGTGCCTCCGAATGAAAAGAAAAAGTCTGAATGAATAAATTATTGTCTATTATTGATGACAAATAACTGAAAAAGCCATCTGAACGATATGATATGTCATATAAAATAAATTTTCTTCGCATTAACTTTTCAATTGATCCTTATTTATGATATATTCAACACATTCAATATACTTTTCTCGTCTTTTATGACTTGTTGTTACTATACGTCAAATTTAAATGTATTTTTCCGTTAGATTTGACTTTAAACTATCTATCCAAATCTTATCAATTAGAGATTTGTACTGCATATCGATGAAAAAAATTTGCCGGGTTTCGTCGTAATATGAAACTAATTGATAATGCATATGTTCTTTCTTAGAAAATTTATTAAACTATTCTGATATTCTCGTTACCCACACTTTTATTTCAAATATCCTATATGCAGTACATTCTAGACTCAATGAAAATCAGATTTCTATCATTCTACACTTTAATTAAACTCAACAGTATTATAATGAAATCTGAAAATTTCCTAGAATTGGCAAATAATATCGCACAATTTTTTTGATTCATTGAAAGTGATATCATTCAAAGTGAAACTGTTCTTTTGATGATCATCCCATATGATACATATATGCATCATTTTATTGTATTGAATTTCTTTCGTTTAGAATCTTATGTGGCAAAACCAATATTATCTCGATCTGTACCCATTTGTGATGATATCGTCAAATGTGAACAAAAATCTAAGAATTTCGATCGACTGTCTTTGTGGTATGAACAAGTTTCAAATGTCTATAAGAATGTCAATGAACTACAATTTATGAATTGGGGTTATGCAGATTTGGATGAGCATATTGATGACAATACTGGTTACTATTCGAAGAAACTTTATCAACAAGTAAGTGAAGACGAATGAAAAAATCAAATACATTTGAGTTGAAATATTTGTGACATAGTATCATAGAGTAACTTTTGATGTATAAATTGATTAACACGAATCTTACTCATACCATAGTTTTAGTTACTTTATTACTTATGAACTAAAACATTAAAATCACAATAAAGAGAAATGAATTTATTCATTACTCTAATGGATATATTTTCATTAACAGTTGCAACTTCTATTTGCTTGATCTTGATAACGTCTTATAACATATTTTACAAGAAGTAAATCTAGACAAATTTCATACATCAGAAAATAATGGATCCGCTGCATTCTTAAGAATGTTATCATATACATGATCGGGAATGTAATAGTGTACTCTTTGTGTATTTCTAAAAGGAATATCTGATAAACACAAAATGTGAAACAGGATTTTGTTTAAAATAGAGAAAACCATGTGATAATCTTTAGTAAGACTTCTGATGAGACGAAGTTACTTTCTCATAAATATTTGACAGATGATAGATAGTAAATCGATCGAAACCGAAGAATTTTTGAGTTGTAACTCATTTGTTCGAATAGTTCAAAGTGAACTAGTTACAATATTAGTTATGGCAGTATCAGCATAAGATTTAAATCTTTGCCTCAAAAATACCTTAGAGAATATGAAGTACTACTAATTACATCTTAATCTACTTCCGTATTTCTGAAAAAAGTAAGCAATACATGAAATGATGAGTAACAAACGTAGTAGCAATCATCATTAGAATATTCTGTTTTTCATTCTAGGTTCTTGCTAATGTAACACTTACGGATCAAAATATACTCGAAGTGGGTTGTGGCAGAGGTGCTGGTGCTGCTTGGTGTATTCGTACATATGCTCCTCGATCTTATATTGGAATAGATCCTTCTCGAGATGTTATTAATCTATGTCAACAATATTATTCAACAATTCATCGACTCTCGTTTATGATAGCTGATCCAAAAATCCATTTACCATTTCAAAATGAGTCAATAAATGTTGTTCTTTCGATTGAAACAACAAACATTTTTGATGAAAGAGAAGTAGTGAAGAAATTTGTCAATGAAATTACTCGTGTGCTTACTGCTGATGGATACTTTCTTTGGTGTGGCTTGTGTAATGTGGATGGTTCAAGTGTATTGATTGATTATTTAACAGCAAATAATGCATTTATTATTAAAGAGAAGGTCAATATCACAAGAAATGTTCTTCATGCACTTGACATGCAAAGTAACTCACGTGCTGATTTTATTGAGCGTTATATTCAACCTGCAGATCAAGAATATTATCGTCTATTCGCTGGATTGCCTGGCACTCAACTATATAATAATATGCAACAAGGACATGCAGAATATTATCGAGTTGTATTCCGCAAGAAGATAATAAAAAACACACTTCATATTTAACACTAAATATTGACTTCACATTACTAACATTTTTTCTTTTTTAAACTAACCCAAATATTTATGCTTACTACATGGTGGTATTTTATTCTAACCTTTTTCAATACCTTAGTTTTTTTGACAATAAATAAATGAATAGACAGTATAATTACTGTAGAATATTTTGCGAGGATGTATATGTGAGATCAATGCACACACCCTCATAGTTCAAACAGATATTTTCATTTAGATTATGATTTGCTTTAAAAGAACGAACTATTGTTAACAAAGCAAAAACAATTCGTCGTCAAAGTCACATACTAATGTTTGTATTCTTACATTTGGTTTGATTCTTATCTAAAGGTTACAGAACTTTGATTGAAAAATAGAACAAGAAAACAGGCTCCTGTCTTTATAAAAGAACTTTGAAACTTTCTTTAATTTCGAGATTTGAAGATCTTCTCGTAGTACGTTTTGTTTAGAAAGGTTTTCTCTCTCAGTTCATGTATTTAGATAATTTTGAAATAGGACTTGAACAATAAATGAGTCTGTTAATTCAGTGGTTTGATAACAAACAAAGATTCTATATTTCTAAGTATAAGACTTGAAAGTGCGAACCTTTTTGCGCAGAGCTGACTGTAAAATGAATCTTTGTGAATCAGAACGAATAAAATATGGATTTTTGTTATTTCAGTGGCACACCATTTTCTTATTTCGAGCAGAACTTTATGTTATATAAGCTGACCGTTGTGTACCGAATATACTACCAAACCATCTTTTAATATTGAAAAAAATGCAAAAGTTCTTGGATCAGAAAATATTTCCTTTATTCTCTTATGTAATAGTACAGGTTCTAGACATCGTCTCCTTTTTATTCATACGTTCTGGTACACATAACTATGAAATTCTTTAAATATTACTCATTGGTTCACCATAATTCTTGAATGATCGAAAAAAGTAGATTCGAGTTATCAAGCTACAAAAGAATTCTTATCAATGACGATTGATGATCATAATCAATATTTATTATTAATTTATTAAAATCTTCCTTAATTTCAAATGACTCATCAATTCAATTAAGAATCATTCTTATTTAAATATTCCCAAATATAGCTCAACTTCTCAATCCATCACACATTCATTCAATTATTGATTTTAAACTTTATTGAACAATTAATTAAAAATCAAATCTCTTTTTCTTATGTGTCTTTACATATTTTAATTAATTCTATATCAAAATCTAAAGATTCATCATTAATAGATCAAGTTATTTATTATGTAGAAGAAATAATTCAATATAATAAAATTGAATCAATTAATATATTAATATGAATTCAATTCGAAATAAATACAAAACAATTACAAAATTCTCATTTAACAATTGAAATGAAATCTTCAATTATTAATCAATGCTTGATTTTTGTTAAAAAAGGTCGTCGATTATCAAATAATATTTTAAAATCATTTGAATGTATTCGAACTTATCAATGGAATAAAACAATTCTCAATATTATGGAACGGTCAATTGAAAACGATCAAAAAATATCATCGAAATCGACAAATTTATATAATTGTTTATTAAAACAAGATGATTTAGATAAAACTCACGTGATAAATATTATTTCAAAAATGAATCAAGAGTTTATAATACAAAATATTTTAATAAATTTAGAAGATAATTCATATTCAGTTCTTTCTCAAAGATGTTCAGAATGGTCAACAATTATCGAAAACAATAACTGATCATTTAACAAATAATCTCAAAGTTAATGATCAAACAAATATTGAGCATACGATTAAAATATTTCATAATTTAGTTGTTAATACTGGAAGATTAGATAATGAAATACTTGAATATTTTTAGAAAAACTCTTAAATATCAATGATATTAATATACAAAAATCGATATTTAATACATTCAAATATTTGCCAAATTATAATCCTTCATCTTTACTTTTCTATTATTTACGACGATTTCAAATTTAAGATATTTTACATATTGTACATCTTTTATTAATTGTTGAATATATTGAAGATAATATAAATGATCAATCAATGGATAATCTTTGTCGAAATCGTTTATGTTCAGATTTATTATTTCGAATTAAGAAATTTGATCAATTAATATTTTTTAAATTTAAATAAACTAGAAAATTATTTTGGATTTTCATCATGTTCATTAATACGTGATCAGATATTCATGTTTTTAATCGAAAATTTTTGAAATGTCAATTTAAATCAAATTAATGAAATTCTAATTTTGTTAACAACACATAGAAATACTTTGCATTTAACTAATACAAAATCAAATAGTTGATTAAATCATATTTTTAATATCTATCCATATATGAAAGGAAATGAATATATTTATATAAGTGATGATGATGCCATGATAATTCTTGATTTAGTATTGAATAAACTTGAATTTAATTTATCTTTTACTGAATCTTTACATTCACATATATCAAATATCAATCACATAAATGAATTAATTGAGTTTTTTGAATATTAATATGAAAAAAAGCGTTCACAAAGAACTTAGTTTATGGAAATATTTTATAAAAAAAGAAGAAAATGAAATAAATATAAAAGATATTTATGTTTGATCATTTCTAAAATCTAAATGTAGATCCTATAAAAGTTGATTATTCAGAAAATCAAATGGGATTTATTAGTCGTTATGGAAATGATAATAATATGACTAGTCCAATGGATCGTCTTTATGGTGGAATTAGTGAACAAATAAATATTTCATCAAATGAATTAAGACAAATGTCAGTAAAAAGAATTAGAGAAAATTCAGATTATTATGTTACAATGTTATCGGCTGTTTATATGCTTGCAGAATATGAAAATAAAGGTTTACTTTATATTGGTAGATCAAATAATAAGAATAAGAAAAATGAAGAAATTATCGAAGAACATCACAATAAAGCTCTTTCAAAATCTGATAACAAAAAACTAATCTGTGCTATAGAAAAATTTATTGATTCATTCGATGTCGATCAGATTGATGTAGCGAAACAAGTAGTAACTTCACATAGATATAATATTGATGGTAAATTCAATATACGACCTCCTTTTGGTACTGAAAATCGAAATAAATTCTTAGATAGTTTAGATAATAAAGAATTAGAGATTGTAGCTCCTGACAGAGGCGTGAAATTGGGACGTGGAAATCCACGTGGTATATTAAGACTTGATTGTCAAGGTATGGTTGGTGATAGACCATCAATGAATCTTCAAATTCAATATAGACGTGATAACGGAGGCAGAAGTGGATCGTATAAGAATGCTATTCTTCCAGGTAATCATTATCTTGGTCTTCGTATTATTATAAATAATACATTAAATTGTTATTTACCAGCAAATCAATATATTAATTTTAGATCGTCTGTTTTCTCTATATAAATTTAAATTTATATTTTATTATTACTATTCATTCTTAGATATTTGTCTAAAATCTAAATGTGTTATTATGATATCAAATATAGAACTATTCAAAAAAATATTTTTAATGAGATTAATCAACAAAGAAAAATCATTTATTATCATAAGTCAATTGTATCTATTCCAACTTCTGTGTCTTGTTGATTTATTTCAATATGATATTTTGATTTCTAGATTTGTTTTTTAATTCTTAAAATCTATCACGTTTGACATGTTCATAATTTTCTGATAATACAAATAATCTTCTAAAGTGTTGAGTCAGATAATGTTTGTTAATTATATAAATACATTCTTTTTTCGGTTCTTTAATAATAAATTATCAATACTGTTATGTTTAGTTGATTATTATATGTATTAGTATTATCAGTACGTAACACACTAAATATAAGTATCTTTCGTGATGCATATTTGAATTCTTAAATAATAGTCATGTTCTCACATTCAAGCGTATTTCTTTATTTTCTTAAAGAAAAACTGTTACGTTTTCACTCGAATTAGCAATCATCAAATCTAGTTGTTAAGATCATTACTATGTATAATAACTAGAAAATCAAGAAGATTCAAAAAAGTATTTTTTTGAGTAAAACTATTAATATATAATTGGAATGAGGTTGTAACATATTTCCTTCGTGATAATATAGTAAGTGATAAGAATAAAAATGTAGAAGACAATTAATGAGTAGTTGAACAAAAAGAATTTATCTTTTATGAATGCTATATGACATAAAATACGAGTAAAAATACTTTTTTGTTACAAACACAGAATTTAAGAACTGTCAAAAACAGGTTCAAGAAAAATATGTCAGTAGTAATATCATTTATATGAATTAAAGTAAGTGATAAGAGAACGATATGGAGTTTTTATTAAGTAGATATAATTAATGTCAATCCCATCGAAATTTGTTAAACTATTAATGACATACATCATTTCTACTAGAAACATATCGATGCGAAAAAAAGATGAATATTATTGTTTAAAAGATCTATCACTAAACATAAATCTTAGAGATCATATGAACCTATAAGGAAACGTTTTTTTTTGGTAGATGTACATAGTGATCAGAAAGTTTTCAGATATTGTATCCAAGTTTTTAACTATGACATAGGAGGACCTATAATATTGTTATCCTCATTATATAACAATTATTATTTGATTATAACCCAAGAGTATTTGTTTTTAAATAAAAACATTTAGTTGTTGATAATGAGTGCAAGTGCAGTTCATATTATTATAGAATATTCTATAAATCTTTTTATGAGCTTTGTTTAGTCTTTGTATTCAAATGGGTACATTTTTTCTTTTTTTAATAATTATATATTTGGATACTCATAGAAATGCATTACCCAAAAATTTGGTTTCTGCCAATCCACATCCTTCTTCAGTAGTCTGAACAAATGAGGCGCGCATTTAAATTCTTCGTATCGAAATACCTCAACAAATGTCTTTTCTAAAAAATTAGTTTTCGATGTTTTTTTAACCCTGCGGACACACAAGCAAGCAAGCAAGCAAACTCTCTAATTAAAACATAAAAATCATCGCAACTCTCATCTCATACAGTTAGAGATATGATTATGTATTTGTATTTTATTTCAAATCATAATTAAACAAATTAATACGAGCAGAAAGTAATCGGCATGTCACTAATAAAAAATAGTAACCTTAATTGGTCTTTATTATAGACTATATTTTTTTCATAATGATGCTCTAGAATAGTATTAGCATGCGATTTATTGTCGAGAAAAACAATGTCTTTATACTTTTGCGTTATAAAGTATAATAGAAATTTCAATTTATATTAATTTTGAACGTAAAAGTATTTTATCTTCTTGAGATATACAAATGAGTAAAATAAAATATATTTGAATATCAATAAAGTTTAGATCGAAATCCTTTCCATAGTATAGACAGAAAAACCATTGAAACTAAATGAATTTTTAACAAATAATTGTTGCCATACAAGATATTTTATTTCTGATCTATGTTGACAAAAAAAACTAATTTTTATTCATAACAGATAATTCAACTATTACGATTTAATAATGTTTTAAATAGAATTAAATTAATTTACGTATACGATTTTGTTTATAGATATTTATATTCTTGTCTTGTTAAGAAGATTAAATTAATATTTGTCATAATTGATTCTCTTTTTTTTATTAGATATTAATAACAAAAATAATATAAACTAGTGACGTTTCGTACCTTGATAAGATACTTCGTTAGACATAAACATTAAACGAAAATGAACGTACAATAAACAGAACAATGATAGAATACACAATCAAATTAGGCTATGTCTAGTCAATTTTGATAGTAATATGGAAAAAAGGATGATATCCTTACCTAGGTACTATTGTCGTCTTGTTTTTCCGTACCACTATCAAAATTGACTAGACATAGCCTAATTTGATTGTGTATTCTATCATTGTTCTGTTTATGGTACGTTCGTTTTCGTTTAATGTTTATGTCTGACGAAGTATCTTATCAAGATATGAAACATCACTAGTTTATGTTATATTTTGTTATTAATATTTAATAAAAAGAAGAGAATCAATTATGACAGATATTTATATTGTTTATTCAACCATTTTAATTGTTTTTTTTTAGAAACATTTACTCGTTTTATTAATTCAGTTTACATATATTAAATATTTCAAATATATAATTGAATTCAATACGAAATTTCTATTATGATTAATAATCAAACTAAAACAAATGGTTTTATACTTAGTTCAGTTTCTCTTGGTTTAAATACATTTGCATGTGTAATATCATGCATAGTTTTTTTTATTATTATATATCAACTCTATTATAACCATGTCAAACGTGAAGACAAAATAACTGTTGTTCTTTGTGGTCATATATATATAGTAGTTTTAATATATTCATCAACATTAATGTCAACGAATATTCGATCAATGCTGGGTGATTTGTATAACCAATCTTTTGATTCATCATGGTGTATTTTTTCAGGATATTTAGTTCTTGTATTGCTTGGTATGTTATACAAGATGTTTGTAAATCAGGTAATTCGAAATAATAGGAATTAAAACAAATTATATATTCTTTTTTGAATAATTCTAGGCATTCTATCGTCTTATTCGAATTGCTTATTCTCAAAATCGACGATTTCAATCTGTAAAACTATATATAATTTTACCAATTATAGAGATAATAATACTAACATGCATTCTTCCATGTGTTCTTATACCTTTGAATGGTGTAACATATTTGCCGAATGATTATTTTTGTTATGCAACATTCACAAATATTCCTGGTATTCTTTCGGCAGCAGCTATCGTTTATATAGGCCCATTTTGTTGTATCTTATTTATTTATATACATATAACAAAATTTATTCATCAACAAGGAACTATTCAAACATTAATAGTAAAACAAAGACAATCTCGAGATTTACTTATTACTCGCCGTATTTTAATTATTGTTAGTTTATTACTTATTCTTGGAATACCTGCAATGACTCTTGTATTTATATTTATAATAACAGGTGAAGAGAATTCACTATTAGCTCGAATTGCATTTTTTCCAGTTAGCGCATCTCAAACGGGATTGAGTGTAGTATTACTTTTTTCTATTCCACAACTGAAAAATATTGTTCTGAACTTACGAACAGCAAATACAGTGACGCCCGTTAATCGAGCTGTACAAATGAGAACGATTATTGGTACTCACTAATTCTATATTTGTTTACAATTTCAATAGTGAAATCAATCTTATCAATATATCCTTATATATTTATCAAATTTTATTTTTTTAATATTTTTTATTTTTATATGAGTAATATAAGTGAAATTCCTATTGATGATTATCGTTATAAGTATTATTCATCGAGAAATCAATATGGTGTGATACTCAGTTTTGTATTGTTTATTTTCGTTTAATATGATGTAAAAATAAATAAAGTTCCACTATTAATTACACTGTGGTGTTAAATGGAATGATCTTGATACAAAAAGCAAGAAGAATAAATGTATAGGATACAATAACACAATAATTAAAAGCACAGAATAATACCAACAAATGATGATTATGTTCAATGTTAAATGCGTTCTTGAGTAACATTTTTGCTTTATATTAAAGAATTTAACCTTGTGAGCTTTTGAATATTATTATTATAAATAGTAATTTTTTTTAAATTTATTTCATAGAATTAAAAAGTGAAAAATGAATCGAAACCATTTTATATTGTGAAATAGAAACTAAAAGAAGTGTTGAAATATATAGAGATAAAAGTTCGAATCCACTTTCTCTGCTATCATGTTTTCATAGTCATTCTAAAAATACATAAATTCACAACATAAAATGCTTTATCGTATTTTACAGTTCGAATTTGACAAGAATTGCACTGAAAACTTTTTATTAATATGTATGAATCAAACATTTATGTGACTGTATACTGTTGTATTGAATTCTAGTATTATATTCAATAAGATGAATCGTTCAATATTTTGTTTAACTTTTTCAATATGTAAAACATAAAATACACAAATAGGTTTCGAATGAGTTTTGTTTATCTTTATTGAAAAAATAATTAACATTACATTAACAACTAAGGAATATATTTGAATGTATCCATGTAAATATAGATTTAAACAATTCCATATTATAGAGCCATCCATGAATATCTCCGATAGAAATATCTGAGCTTCCCTCACTTAGACTCGCGAGAAGAAAAAACATAGCTTCTTTTAGTTGTGATTTTATTCCATCTGTGTCTACATTAAGAAGTTTTATTTTCTTTTTGAAAGTTTACGAAGATTAGCATTTCATTCTTGTTTGACAATAATCAACTATAATAGCATAATCAACATTTGTGCTAATATCGACAGGGATGGGTATGGGTGTGGGTGTGCATCTGAGAAGAGAACAACACACCCACACCCTGTAGAATTTTAATACTAGAGATTTTAACGTGAATCCGTCTCCAAACCTCCTTATAAACAGGATCTCTATTATCGAGGTCATCCTCGATTGTTCTATTATCTTTCATATATGGTATGATATTCTTTTACTAGTCCTTTTTGATATATTTGTATATGACATGATCATGTACATATATATATACGCTATACGTTAATGAAATATATCATCTTCTTTTTTTCTCTTTTCTCTCTCTCTCTCTCTCTCTCTCTCTCTCTCTCTTTTTTCTTTACTTTTCTTCTTGTTCTTCTCTTCAATCGTTCTCTTTCAAATAAACTAGATATAATGCTCACAATCTCATTATTGAAATTAATTGTTTGAGAAAATAGAAAATGTTAAGGTAGGGAGTTGAGTTCGAAACACAAAAGATACATAATTAGGGCTATAGAAATAAGAAGGCTAGGAATTATAATTTAAGTGAATAAAAAAATACTTTCACATTTGATTTTAATCATCACTAAATAAATCCGTTGATTCCCAGTCATACCCATCGCTCTTTATATGTCTACATAAATATTCTGAATGAATCTTATTGCTTGTCATATATCAACAATAAGGTATATATCTGTATTTTACTATTATTATAGTTCATAACTTTCTGAGATTAGTAACAATTTGATACTAGTAGTATTTCATCAGCAGTTTCATACATATAAATATGCTATATTCAAAATTAAAACACGAAATGGATACATTCCTGAATATTTTAATAAAGTGAGAATGGTGATACAACGACAATTCGAAAATAGAGCAATTATTAACTTGAAAATCAAAAATATACAGATATATTTGATAAACTATTTCGAACGATACGTGAAAAATAATATACTAATATCTTTCATAAGTACACATGACGATATAATGGTTCAAATTGAATTTATAAATATTGATTTTATGATGCGAAGTATTTAACGTATATGTAGAATCTTATTTTTCAGTTAGTCTCAAAGTGACCACTATTTCAAAAAGTATCACCTTCGTGAAAAAGATCTACAGTTCCTTAGATCAAAAGTTATAAATACAGTGAACAATAATAATTTCAAATAACTCTTTAACGACAAGTTTAAGTGTTATAAATCAAAAACCAATTAGTCTATTAAATTTGACTATGATTTTATTAAGATAAGAATTGAATTGATGAAAAGAATATAATAAATGAAAAATAGAAAAGTAACAAAAAATGTACAGTGTGAAGAACGTACAACACAAATATAAGTAAGTTCAAATGATTTTCTTCTATTTAAATAACACCGAAAAGAAGCTGTGATTATAAGAAACTATTCATATTACATATTTTTTATTCTATTGTACAAAAGATGAACAAGACATGTAAGTTAACAGTTTCAATTCATTCGAAGTTATTTTAATCTTAGCGTTTCGTGATCAAGTTACGTGATTATTAAAATGGTGAGCGCACAGAAAGATATATTCATTTACGTGGGTATGCGAAAAGGTTATTTAGCCTAAAATCAATGAACCAATAAGACAATATGCATTGACCATTCTTCGTACTTAAATATAAAAATGAAATGCCTTATACATACTGAATAGTGTGATGACTAAACGCATAGATGCACTCAGAAATATATCGATTCACTTGATAATATAACTGCACTCTTATATTCAAGTTCGAAGAAAAAGTAAAAAGTCCACATTTGGTTTATTAAAATTAACGAATATAATTCTATATCCACAAACATTTGATCAAAAACAACAAAAATAAAATTAAGTTTATTTTTTTTATTTTATTCTATATTATTTTTTAAAACTGATAGAAATTAAAATCAAAAGATAAAAAACATTTAACAAATACAGAAGAACAATTGAAAAAATGATACCTATTCAACAAATTTTTCAAGAAGAAAAACAAATCTCGACGACAAATATTACAGCTTTAATTCAATTTTATATTAAATTATTTATTTTAGATTCATATTATTTTGTTATATGCATTATTAGATTTAACATATTATACTGAAGAATTTTTACATATTTTATTTGAAAGAATTCAAGCATCAGCAAATATAAAAACTTATGATATTGAATCAAATGAATCAATAGAAAGGTATACCATATATATCCTACTCCCCTACCAAAGATAGGCAACTCCGGGGGTGAGCAACTCCAACTCCACTCCAACTCTATCTAGTTTTTCACAACTCCGTTGTCTACGATGTCAATTCCAGCTCCGGTGTCTACGATGTCAACTCCAACTCCGTTGTCTACGATGTCAACTCCACTCCAACTCCAAGGAGTTAAAGTGTCAACTCCGGAGTTGGAGTTGCCCATCTCTGATTAAATGGTACATGTACAATTGCATCATCATTTTTAACTTATCTTGATCCATATATATGGATTTCAACGTCTTATGTTAACTGTTCATTCGATTTAATGTATTAGAGATCGAATGATAAACTGACGATCAGATCTTATCAAAGAGAATTTACTACAGGTCAATGAGTTTTTATTTTAATTTGAAAAATTCTAAAGAAAATTTCTTTTTAGATATATTGACGAACAAAAATCATTTGGTGGACCTGAATACCATCGATCAAGTTAAGTGTGCTCCAAATTTGGAGCTTACGGATATATAAGTTTTCGCGAGAAACTCTACCTAAAAACTGTAATCATCTATTTTTGATTGTTCTAATAGATACTCTGAACTGCACTGAGTCGACTGGTGATACTCAAGAAAACAAAGCACATAGTTACAAGTTACAATTTGTCGAAAAACTTGAAACTCCAAATTTGGAGTTCACTTAAGTTGACCAATATCATCAAATGTTATTTTCATTAGGTGATCAAATATATTATGAATGGTTAAGTGATGGAGTTTTATGATCAAAAATGGAAAATCATATAATCATTATTAAATCAATTGAATATCCTCCACTTCTTATTGATCCATTTGGACAATATGATCAATGGATGGAAAAATATTATAATCTTCAAAAAATTCATTTTGATAATCAGTATGTTTCATTCTCGTACTAAACAGTATATTTAACATATCTTTCGAAATCTAATCTCTAGCCATCTAGAATTATCAGTACCCTTTTTCACTAATTCTCATGATTAAGAAAAAGATTGAAAAATGATATTAAAAATTTTTTTTTTATTTGATTTTAGAGATCGAAACATGATGTTATAATGTCAATTGAACCATCATTTTTATCTGGTTCAAAAATTTATATAAAAAATTGTAATACATTCGATAGTCTTCTTTATCCATTAGCACAATGGAAAGCAACATCATAAGAATCAAATTCTAATGATGGTATATCAACTTCTTGTTTTCTTATTTAAATCTAAAATATTTGTTTATATTCAAATTTAATTATTTATTATGGTCGTCGTTTTTATTTTCATATAACTTATGATTCATTTGGTGGAGTTTCATCATCAAATTTATTTAATCAAGATGACCATTTACATCATTTATAACAATCAATTTTAAAAAATGATCAACAATTGAAAAATTGGTAGGGTGTGGGTGTTATTTTCATCTGATACCCACACCCTCAATTTAGAACTTCAACAGCCCATAAGCACAAGAAACTTTAATAAAATAAATCTATTTTTAACAATAATAACCGAGAATATCACATTAATAATTTATTTATTATAATTACACTATTTTCTAAACATAAGAGATATTTGTCTTGTGAGAAATAAACATTCAATAAGCTAGATGGTATTCAAGTTTCACTCGCTTACAAAATGCAATGCGAAGCTCGATATCGAAAATAATGATTTCGAGGTTTCAGACATTTCTGAATATTCACGATTTGTCTTTGGATCGAGAGAAATTTATATATTGTCAAACTACATGGAACACTAATTCAACAGGTGAGTTCATCTAATTCCAAAATATAAACTAACATATACTGAAACAACGCTGATCATTCAATGTTTAATAGCTTATAAAGAATGCACATATGTCTTGTGTTTTAAGCACATTATGCGATACGTAGTAAAGAAAACGGTGATATAAGAATTTCTAAACTCTAAAAATGATTTGACCATGAAAAGTAAAATTATAGACAAGATAAAATCTATCGAACAAAAGCCGATTCATAGCAGAAATTATATTAAACCCCCCCCTATAATAGAAGCCCACCCCATATTAGAAGCCCCCCCGTATTAGAAGCCCACCCTGAGATGAGCAACGTGATTGACGTATTAGAAGCCCCCCTAATTTTTCAAAATTTTTTTTAATTTTTCATAATTTTTTCGAATTTTCTTTCTAAAGTTGCTAAAATTTCTCGATTTTAAGGTGAAGTTTCTACTAACTCCTATCTAACTATGCTTAAATCTGGAAAAATTGCAAAAAATCTTCTGAAAAACTCATGAAAACCTTGAAAATCTCTAAAAACCTTCCGAATCGGTTTCCTTATCATAGTCTATGAAAATTTTTTGGGACTTGATAGAAGCCCCCTTCAAAAATTATAAACGGTAGCCAAGTTAGAAGCCCAGGGGGCTTCTAATATGGGGGGGGGGGGTTTAGTATCTTTATTTGATATTTAAAAAACGATTATATTAAGCAATAATTAGAGACAAAAGTGAAGTGATTCTAGTCCTATGAGTGCCGAGACGAAATTGACAACATCAGTCCAAAGAAGTATTTTTGTTTATGAAGAATATTTCGCTTTGCTTTCCGAAGAGAAGTAGTTCGCTTCTATGTCATCAAGTAATTTAGGTTGACTGGGGTGCCATCCCAGTTCCTTCTGGGTCTTGTCACTTGAGGTGGGATTGTCCGAACTGATCACATGGGCAAAGAAACCAATAGCCTCGGCAGCTTCATTCAAAGATTTACTTTCCACAGGCAGCTGAAGATGTTTGCCGATCACAGTCATGATGTCTTTGATCGGTATGGCTTGTTCAGCAACGGCATGGTAGGTCGCGCCAGCGGTACCTTTTTCGAGTGCAAGACGGAATAGAACCGCAGCATCCAATCGGTGAACGGCAGGCCATCGAGCTGAACCATCACCGACGTAAGTTACAAAGCCTTTTTGACGTGCTAGATTGATCAACGCTGGGATAAATCCTTTGTCTTCTTTGCCGTGAACTGTAGGTGAAAGTCGGATCACTGAACCGCGTATATTCTTTTCCTTTGACAGTTGGTAGACCAGATCTGCAGACAGCCCACGCTCGGCAAAAGGATGGTTTCGATCAGGTTCGGTATCTTCTGTAGTCAGTTTTCCCTTGGGTAAAAACAATATGCCAGAAGCTATGACGAGTGGTTTTCCTGTGCCAGCCATCGCTTCTCCCATGGCTTCGATGGCTGCTCTATCGATTGCTGTGCATTTTGCCATGTTGCTGAAATCGTGGACGAAGGCCAGATGAATGACACCGTCAGCAGCTCTTGCACCGCTCTTTAAGCTCTCGAGATCTTCCAAGTCTCCTCGGTGAGGTAGTCCACCAGCTTTAGTGATTAACTCGGCGGATGCATCACTGCGAGCAAGACCAAGCACTTGGTGACCATGGTTAATAAGTTCCTGGACGACAGCACGACCAATGAAGCCAGCGGCACCTGTTACGAAGACGCGCATTTTGATTGTTGAGTTGTAAATGAGAAATTAGAATTTGTAAGCTTGAAAAATTTATCTAGAAATAACATTTTTGAAATTATATAAACAACTGTATTTATTATGAATGTTGTTAATATGTTTTACTTCGTTTACATTATTTTTTTTATAGAACTATTTCATCACGAAAATTTATGAGCATTAAAAACACTGATCCACTAACAAGGGATGAGAAGTTATTGTTCTGTTATAAATAACAGACAAATAAAAAATATTTTGTTTGTTTCTAAGCAGAAATATGCATGAAATAATTGTAACGTTCAATCTAAAAAAGAATCAAATAAAGAAAAAATACTAACTGCATGTGATGCTAATGGTTATGTAAATAACCTTGATGAAGTAAAAATGCTCTCGTATTTATACGAGAGGAATGTGAAATGTTTCTTTTTTTCTTTCTTCTATTTTTTGCATTCAGAAAGAACGATTCCGTACGTTATTATGCGTATGAAAAGTACGTTACGATACGCACGTGTCAAAAAGAAAGAGAACATAACGCACATTACTTCATATTTAAAGGTGTGCCGTATTTTATAAGTATTATGTAATAAAAACCACCCGGCTGTTCAATGTATTGAAGAAATAAAATGGTATTTGCTCAGTTGATAAAAAAAGACAAGGAGATAAAGCATACGTCAGGACTTATGAAGTACAAAAGCATGGATAAGTACAGAAAGTCTTAGAAAATGCCAAGAAGTCTCTCGAAGTACACTGAAGTATCTGAGTCTTATTCAAACTGTTTTCGAGTTTGTTCAGAAGAGAATAGCGAAGAAGAAAAATCGGCCCTATAGATAAACTTTCCGATACAAGAAAATCGATTTATGAAAATTTCAAATGTTTACAAATTATTTTCATTCATTGTTGGGCAATTTATAGGAAATATTTGATTGTTTATAAAAGACAGTTTTAATTTGATTTTCATTAAGAATTACTTTCGAGCTATTGATCAAGTAGCAGTATTTTTTTCAAAGATGTTTGAAAAGAATTGTATCTTATAGTTCATTTTCTCGAATATAGCTGCATCGAGTATGTAGAGCATACAACTATAATCTTGTTCACTGTTTACAGCACACAGCAAAATTTGTAATAAAATAATTATTTGATAGGAATTTAACTAATAAACGTAGTTCTTTTCATCTAAACGGGTTTATTTTCAATAACAAAACTGAAACAATAAATGTACGTGAGGACCAACGAAAGTAAATCCAAATGAAGGATAATACGATCACATTTTATTGCCATTTATAATCACATCTAGATCCTCATATATACCGTAGAAAACAGTTAATAGTCAGTAGCAACAAAATCCATAGTCAAAATTGTGTTTTTACGACACTTTCTGTAAACGAACTGAATGTTCTGTTCACCACGATACAAAACTAATGCGTAAGTCGAAAAAATAAGAAAGTCTCGCGAAGGACTACAGAAATACTTTGCTTCGCATCTTATTGCCGTTTAGAAATATATGTATTTATTAATAGTATGAGCTTTTTTTCTTTGTTTAATAAAGAAAACTTATATTTTGAAAACAAAAATAGGAAGATTAGAATAATCAGATTATTTTACTTTATTGTCGTTTAGAATTGAGAACTTTAAAGTTAAGTGCATTAAATCCACGACCATAATTTGCATTCCAATCAAATTCTGACGATTGTTTATTTTCATTTGAAAATGCATATACCATATCCATGTCATCATTTTCATATTGAAAATCTTGTGGATGTTCATTGATTGTTTTATATCGTGCGCCTTGTCCATACATTTGACCTGTTTGACGATTTAAGAATGTTGCTATAGTTCGTAATGTCAATGATATACGTTCACCATAAAATGCAACTTCATCTGGATCTTTTTGAGTAATTAATCTTTTATCTGGTCGAATGGCATGATGCCATTCACGATTTGTCTGCCAACCTAATACAAACAAAGAATTATGCGGCAGTTTAAACTCCTGTCGAACTCCGTATTGTTTTTTATTTATTAAAGTCATTGTACGAGCAGCACCTAAAAGAAAATCGATCACTTTTAATTGTTTAATGATATTTCTAAAAAAAATATTTTACCCAAACTATAATTAACAATATAAGATCCAAGTAAAATATCTAATGTTTTATCTGAATGTTCACCAATATTATCTTTTCCATTTTTATAATATTGTACTAAAGCATGATTAAGTTTTTGTTGAATGACTTCTTCAATTCGTTCTTTAATTTTTAATGCTGTTGGTGTCCACGAGACAAGTTCCGGTTGTTCATCGGCTGGATGACGATAAAGTGGTTCATATTCATCGCCATCTTCAATAGTTATAGTTCCTTGAATAGATATATCACGTGGCACACGTTTTCCCTTTTGTCGCATGGTACTCCATTTAACTTCATCTTTTAATTTATAAAATAAATCATCAACTACATCATTCGGAAAGATATCAAGTAATAAAAATGAATCATTTGATCCATATACAGCCGCATTTTCTGCCCAAGAAGGTATATTAGTTGCCATTGAAGTCTCAAATTTGAATGTAAATAATATTGAAGAACATGCACAAAAATATTTATATTTTACCTGTTATTACAATTCTACGAACGACGTATGACAGTAATGAGTAAGTATATCGTGTGTGTTGTGCAAGATTACATTCCCATTTCACTGTTCTCTTCTGACGCATTCTTATGCATCAACATTACGTGTAAAAGAAATAAAACATGACGAAAGTTGGAAGTAAGTCTAAAATAATAATGGTGCGATAAAGGATATATTTCATCAGAAAGATTTCATCTCAATGGATATAGTATCAATATAATAAAGTATTGTTTGCTTTATAGTTTGAATGGTTGTTGTATCATTGTGAAATATATTCTTTCTTACAATTATATGAAAAGATCTATATGTAATAAAAAGGGATGTGAAAGATCAAGTTTTTTCTTTATTTAAATGTATCAGAGTAAATGCACGCAACATTTTCTTTTATTCGGTATAAGTTTTTATTTATTAACAAATCTTTTCTAAAATTATGTCACTTCCATTTTAACTTTAATCACATTTTCATTTGTGAGAGAATACCGTCTCAAATACTACACATGTTTGCATTCAAACTGACTTCAAATGTTAACAAGATTATATGTTACATTCACTTTTTTTGAGGAGTATCTAATAAATAACTGTAATCATGATCTTTTACTTGATTATTTACAAAAATAAGTCTTTCATACTAATAAACAAATTCCAGATGTGTGGGTTTGCAACTATTTACTGCTGAAAGATATATTGTATTGATTTATTTCGTATAATATCGTTTGTCTTCTTAAAAATAATGATAGATTTCACTTTAAAATCATAATATTATCAACATTTCTTATTTACTTAA